GTTTAAAATATATTATTTTGTTTGTATTAAAATCTATCTTTGTGTTGTAGGCTGTTGGTTCATCGACTTTTGGAATGGTCGTGAACTGCGTCCCATCTGGTTTGGTCTGGACGTAAAGCTCTTTCTATATCGACCTGGTTCTCTCATCTTCCTAGTTCTTACTGGCTGCACTGTGTTGCAACATTGGGAAAAGTATAATACTGTTAGCCCGACGCTTTTATGTTATTTTCTTTTCGGCTACTTTCTTGTCTTCGATTTTCTTTTCTTCGAGCACAACCTCTTATCTACATTTGACGTCCAACACGAAGGTGTGGGGTTGCACTTCGTGCTAATGAAGTTGGTTGTAATTCCCTTCGTCTACTCTCTTACGTTGGCGTGGATGGCAGATAAACCACATCTCGGCCGCTTGCCTGGTCGCATAACTGGTTGTAATTACGTTGCCCTCGGATTGGGTTCAATCATATTCTTAATTGGTTACTTCATTCATCGGGCTTCAACTCGACAGAAGGATTTGATCAGGAGAGATCCCCATCACCCTAGCTTATCTGGTAAAATGGTAGACTTATAATGCTCTAAATGGTGGTTGGCTCTTTACTTATCATATTTTGGCATTCAGGTATGGCAATGATCTCCACTAGCAGTGGAAAGCGTCTTCTCGCTGGCGGCTGGTGGGGCAAAGTTCGTCATCCAAACTACCTGGGGAACCTTCTTATGGCATATTCAACAGTCATCATAACAGGTATCCTAAACTACATTTTTTGAGAGCAAGTTCTCTTCTTTGGTCTCACATCTCTTATTTCTAGGCTGCTGTCGTTCCTTCGTTCCTTGGATTTATCCGGTGGCTCAGACAATCCTTCTCATCCATCGAATCTGGCGGGTCGAAAATTCATGCGAAGAAAAACATATGTATGCATGGGAAAACTATTGCCATCTAGTCCCTTACAGACTCATTCATAAAATTTTCTAATCTGGTTTTCGTTCCTACTTTTAAGCCTGGCACGGCATAATTGCTTAGATATGTTTTCTTGCTCGATTCCTTTATTTGTTTAATCTTGCCTCCAATCTGTATGTTGGTTTCCTTGAATTTGCTAATGCCTTTCTTCATTTAGATTGATACTTTGTACTCTTTCCTAACCTTTTATGTACAGATAATAGTTTTCTGTGCATTATACCAGTTACCGAGTATACGCGTACATTATTTCGGTTGACGATCCGGTTGATGTGCCGGCATTTATGGATAATCACGGATCCTTATTCGTTTTGCGGTGTTTTGTATTCATATATCTATATATATTGCTACGTATTTTTTTAATATTCACTTTTACTACTATTCCGTTTTATATTCGGCCGGTTTTTATTTGGACTATTTGAAATCGCACAAATATGTACACCTTGTCCTTGATCCAAGAATTCGTTCATACATGACACTGGTTAGTACTTTAGATTCCTTAGTCCATATATTCCTCCTTTGAATTTGCACATCATATCTTTTACTGCCCTCTAAGTTCTCAATCTTTAGTCGTCTTGTTTTCACCCTTACTATAGACGTTTTCCTGTAATTAAGGAGACATTCCCATCGACAATAGTTTCCTACATGTTGACTTCTCTTTTTATCGGTGCTCTCGCGCTATTGGCTTGTCCATTTGTGTCCACATCTGACATGCCTTATAGCCAACGAATTTTGTACTTCTGATTACTATCTGTATACATGCATTCTTTTAATGTTGAAAATAGACGTGTCGCTGCTATGTCCAGTTAAAGCGGCATTGAGCATGTCTAATCGTACCTCTTAATCAAGGGATTGGTGCCCATGTCTGACGTTAAAACATTGTTTTTTGGCGTGTCGATGGTTTTCATAATCGTTTTCTTATTGCTAAAATCATGACTGACACCTCGGGGCCAGCCTGTTTTTTCGGGTGTGTAATTGTCTCACTAGCCACCAGTGGTTATTCCGAATGTGTTATCTTCAATATGGCTCCTGCTATCCAGGAGACGTTTTTTAACGTTACTTTGTGGGTGACTCAAACCTCGGGATCTTATCATAAAATAAGCAGTCCATTCAGCTTATCTATTTTCATGGCGCATTATGGAAGCGAGGGTAGTGCAAAGTTAGCTTAGAGTGGGTATCCTTCCACGTGCGACAGAAGAGCTTTGGTGTAAGTCGCTCGCCTGTGACAACCTTACCAAATGCCGCAAGGTATCTCATGAAAAGATCGTGGGTCGCTCATATAGTGGTAACTGACTTCGAGTCGTGGCGTCCTAATAGTCTATCTACACTGCCACAACTAAATATGTTGGTTAGGCTGCAAGCGCCTACAGGGATAACTTTGATTCACCGGACTCGAGCATACTTGGATCTGCGTATGTTCCCGGGAAATGCGGTCCCCTGTCTACCGGCTAGGTGTTGCGCGAGGCTATGGTTAGTTGGCGGCTCTTGGAGAACACGCAGAGTTGCTGCCGAGGTTCGAATTGTGTTTTATTGTTTCATCCCTCGGTGCACATCTCAGTTATTCTTGGGTAAATCTTCATGGTAGAAGAAATTCTCCGCTTTCCCTCGTGGCTTGGTCATTAATGACGGAATCCATTTCGTTTAATCTATTTCAATGGGTATTAAGAATATGATATATATGTAAAAGGAGCAAAATCACTCCGAATTTTGTTTTCGGCATAACTGTCTTTCGGGAGTCGATAACTTTCAAATTATGACTTAGTCACTCTGCATTGGGCGAATTGTAAATGTTTTTGCATAAATAGACGGGCGGCGTGTTTGGAACTATACCACCTTGCCCTCCCAAAGGCTTTGGCATCCAGGATGGACTTCAGTTCCTGAATACGATGTCTTATTACAATCAACAGGATCCAGCACGTGGTTGTGATTATCGTAGCGACATTACCACTTCGCCTCTGAGTCACAGGTGCTGGTGGGGTACAGGGCAGATGTAACATTCCCAAATCAAATGTATGGTGGTTTGAGGACCCGATATATCGTTGTGGAAAAACTAAAATATCACTACTTTTTTAAGGGCTTCGTTAGCCAGTCTCTGATTGAATTGCCCCACGACCTCTATCGAATCTATTTGGGGGTGCTA